GAGGGCGGCGGGGGGGGGGGGGGGGGGGGGGGGGGGGGTTTGGAGGTTGTGTCTAGGTCTGGGTCAGGGGTGGTGTTTTCTTGCTCTGGGAGTGGCCAACGATGTCACCTTCTGCCAAGAGTCCCAGTGAGTAAAGGCCTGGAAAGCATCTATTGGATCTGTCACCACAATGATCAGTAACCTTGGGGAGGGCAGTTTTAGCTTCCCCTGGCCACAGCGCAGCGGATCAGTGATGGGGCCCCTTTGTGATGTCTTCCTATTCAGGGTCCAGATAACGAAGAAGGTTCAGCAGCGACAGCAGCAGGGGAGGCCGAGGTGCCCGTCAGCAGTGCCGGGGAAGCAGAGGCCAGCAGTGTGCCCACCGGGGGTCTGACCCTCTCCATGCCCACTCAGGACCCTGGGGAAGGGGTCACTTTGGTAAGGAGTATAACGTGCTGGAAGGTTGAGGTCACAGCTGGGAGCGGATCCTGGCCTTCTCAGGGGGCCGGTCTCCGTTCTGTTCAGCAAATCCAGAAGAACCTGAATGGGGAGGGGACACCTCTCTGACCAAATACTCCCTCAGAGGTGGAGTCTGCCGGTGCCTGGTGAGTGTACTGTGGGCCCTGGAGGCGTGGGGACAGCGCAGGCTGATGCAGGGCTCGGGAGCCGGGGTGGAGGAGTGCTGGGTGTGAGTGGAGGAGGTGATGGCGAGCACCGCCATGCCCGTTTCTGGGTGAAAGCACAGGCTGTCAGAGCTCAGTGGAGGGTCCAGGTGCAGGCAGGCCCTGGCAGGGTCCAAGGGCATGGCCAGGCCTTCTCAGCGCTCTCCTCAGGCCTCACGGAGACACTGCTCCCAACTCCTGAAGACAGGATGCAAGTATCCTAGGACACTCAGACTCAACAGATTCAAACCTAGACTCCTGTCTCCACTCCTTTTGTGTTCCCATCTCAGATGATGGAACCATCATCCCCCAGCTGCCTAATCCAGAATTCTCTTCCCTCTTCCTTACTTCCACGTTCTGTCACATGTCAAGTCTTGTTGATTTTTCTACCTCAACACATCACAGACCTGCCTCCTTCTACCCTTCTCCAGCGCCAGCCCCCTGTACCGAGACACCGCATCCCCAGCCCGGGCAATGGTTAAGGCCCTTCCTGGCCACCTCCATCCTCTCTGCCCCCGGCTCCTCCTGGTGGGGGCAGCCCTCTGTGGACCATTGTCCTCGCTGCAGACCCCGCTCCCACACCTGGCCTCCAAGGCTTGCGGGGTCTGGCCTCACCAGCCTCTAGGGCCACATCTTGGGCCACTGTCCCTGCTCTTGGCGCTCCAGCCTCCCTGGCCTTCTTTCAGTTTCTCGAGCATACCTATTTCCTTCTTGCCTTAGAATCTTCCCACACCCTCCCCTCTCTGCCTGGAACCTTTTCCTCCTCCTCCTTCCCTCCTCTAATTCCTGCTTATCCTTTAGAGTTCAGCTCAAACACCGCTTCATCAGGGCGGTGCCTCCCAGGCTGTGAAGTCTCCCCGTCAGACACATTCACAGTACCCCAAACGTCTCCTCGGAAGGCCTCGTCACAGCTGGCTCCCTTCCAGGCTGGAGGCTCCGTGAGGCCAGGGATCACATACGTCTTGCTCATTGATCTGTCTTCATCCCGGCTGATGTTGGGGACTCAGTAGATGTTTGCTGAGTGAGTGAAACGAGGGGGTTGTCAGGCCATCACATGTCAACACTGGCCTTTGAGATCATTCCACACATTCACTCCCAGCCTTTCACCTCTGATCTAATGTCCAGACAAGGAACCTTTACAGTGGGGAAGGTATGCCCTGGCCAGGTGACGGCGCTCCCGAGGCCACTTGGCAGTCACATGGATTTACTGTAATTGACAGATCGTCGCCACCACCTTCTCCTGCTTCTTCTTCCTCCCCTCTTTCTTCTCCATCTCTCTTCCCTCCCTCCTTACCTTTCCTTCTTTAAAGGCAAATCCCTTGTCACAGGGTGAGAAAACTAGGGTTCGGGTCCCAGTTCTACCAAGTCTTTACTCAACAGAAACTAGAACTTAACTAGCAGAGCTGTCTGGAGATAGAAGGGCTTCCTGCGGAGGTAGGGAGTGCCGGTTCCTGAGGATGCGCAGGTTTGGGCCAAAGCACGCGGCAGAGGCGTGCTGGACGGTACTCCGGGGCAGGGAGGGGACGCCCTGAGAGGTGTGTGACGGCCTCAGCAGGTTCCTCCCCATAATCACACACCCACCAACCAGGGGTGTGGGTGAAGTGTCACGATCCCTTAGGCCAATTTCATTTCAGGGTCCAACCAGTGAAGAAAGCTTAACAATAGCAGCAGCTGCAGCAAAAGTGCCCCTCAGCACTTTTGAGGAAGAGGAGGCCAGCGGGTTCCCCACTGATGGCCTGGTTCCCCTCACACCCACAGCAGCCCCCAAGCAAGTAGTCACTTCTGTAAGTATCTCCTAGCATCCTCTCTGGCTCACAGTGGGGAGAGAGGTCAGGGTCACGAGACAGGAGCAGTTGCCAGCCTTCCCAGAGCCAAATGCACAGGCAGCTTCGTTAGAGCATTTATCTGGGTCGGCACCAACCAGAGGGAGGCAGGATGTAACTGAAGGAGCAGAGCAGAGGGGGTCAGGGGAGCAGGCTTTGTCCTGACCCTCTACCCCCATCTTTGTCCAAGGAGAACTTTCTCGGAATGTGGTCCAAAGTTAGACAACATTGCTGGGGTGAGAGGCAGTAAGCGCCATGACTGGGGAGGGGGTTTAGAGGAGATGCATGTTTCAGAAGGGGATTATGAGTCTGTGCTTCTGTGAGTGTGTTGGGTGTAATGACAGTTGTAGTTAGGAAAGTGCCTTGAAATTGGGCTAGTGCCACCAAAAGGAAAGTCAACGAAACTCCCCAGCAGCAGTGCGCACATTGCATCATGGGCGAGGTGACTTGATTCATCGTGTTGGTTTGGCTTCTCAGGGTCCTGGTGATGAAAACTTAGCAGCAGCCACAACAGAGCAGCCCCTTCCCACGGCTGGGGCAGAAGAGTTGGGTGGCACTCTCCCTGAGGGGCCCCCGCTTCCCATACCCACAGTAGCTCCTGAAAGAGGGGTCCCTCCGGTAAGTGAAGATTTCACTTTGCATAGAGGCATATGACCATTTGACTTGGCTGGTCTTACAGAGGAGAAGAAAGGCCAGAGGCGTGGGAGGGGCCTGCTCCTGGCCTTCCTAGAGGGAGGTTTGCATTTCGGTTCGCAAAATGCAGAATTTGGGCTTTTGAGGGTCCTCCAACCTAGGAACACACAAGGAAGCTGCAGTTTGTGGAGAAGAAGAAGCAAGAGGTAAAAACCTAGGGCCCCTGTGGCTTTGAGTCCCAAATTGCCCACTTCTTTCATTGGAATGAGAGCCTTCTAACAGGCAGAGCTGCCTAAAGAGACAAAGGCCCATCTCAAATGTCATTAGATTCCATCCTGGAGGCGGGGAAGCTTGTAAGACGTGGCAGGGACTGTAGAGGAAATAGAAGCCTCAGAGGTGTGTTTGTGGGGGGGGGAGGGGGCAGAGGGTCACCTTCAGGTCCCTTCCAACACGAGTTTTTGGGTTGCAACTGTACGACCTCACGCAAATCCCTTTCTTTGGGCTTCAGTTTCCTCATCTGTAGAAGAGGGTGGCTGTGAGGTCAAGTCAGAATGCAGGTCAGGGAATGTTCGGAAAGTTCTACGCACAGGTGCGAGGTTGTCACCACTTAAGGGCTGTGACTTTGTCTTTTAGAAGTGGGAAACCCAGAGCTGGTCCTCAGCGTGGGCTTGTGTGAACTGGGGAATTAAATTACCATTTAAGTGTCTATATACATATATATATATATAGACATATATATTTGCATTGTATGTATATAATGGTCTTGAGCTGTGAAAAGAAATTTTAGAAAGATACCTCTGAAGCATTTTTCAGAATTCCAAATAAGAGCGGCAAAACCTGAAAAGCTTAAGTAAACATACTGAATGGTTTTAAAATGTATGTAGAGCCAAACAAATTAATGACTTTTCCTTTTTGCATTATGATTTCTCCTTTCCTCCAGTAACCTTTCTTATTTCTGGCATAATTCTGTTAGCTTTTGAAATCTGTACAGCTTTTAAATGTAGCCTCATACATTAAGGATTGGATAGTATCAGTTATTGGACATTTACAGTGTGACATGCAGTGTTTTATGTGATTTGCCAACAAAATCTCATTTTAATGAGGTAGTTGTTCTTATTCATGCTTCACAGATGATGATAACAGGCTCCGGACGCGCAGGCTCAGCGGCCATGGCTCACGGGCCCAGCCGCTCCGCGGCATGTGGGATCTTCCCGGATCGGGGCACGAACCCGTGTCCCCTGCGTCGGCAGGCGGACTCTCAACCCCTGTGCCACCAGGGAAGCCCTAAGTGTCAATATTTTTAAAGGAAAGAATTCGATTGGTGACCAGCTTGGGCCTGCCAGTTCCCCAAGCAGCACTTGGTCACACGTGCTTTCAGAGCCTTGACTCAAGTTACAGACATGTGGTCCCTTGGCCACAGCACTCCAGGGCTGACCTGGGATGGGAGGGCTGTGGGACAGGACACCCAAGAGCTGGCTGTGAATCCTGAATGCCCACGGCTGCAGCGCCCGGCGGTCATCAAGCACTGCTTGGTCTCTTTATTTTTAATTCATTCACTCATTGATGTTCTCACTGACTCAGTGCATAGCAACTCAGGGCCCTCAGTCCATACACTTGGAGATTGAGATGAATATGACCTCGTCCCTGTCGCCAAGGAACTCACAGTCAAGGGGCCAGAAATAAGCCTTTTGCACTGACATTTATTAAGCACTCTGGGTTCCAACTTGATCTGATTCTATGCACACCACTGCTCTCTGGTACAAGGAGAATCATCTCCATTTTCCAGGTGAGGGGAGTGAGACTTAGGTAAAGGAACCTGCCTGCTGTGGCACACCCTTAAGAGCAGGGCTGGGATTTGAACCCAGGCGTGCTGGCCTGCAGAGCTCATGCCCTAGAGCATCCCCGAGAGTGTGGTATGGTGGAGAGGTCCCAGAATGGGAGCCGGAAGGCTGAGGTTCTAACTTGTGGTGAGTCTTGGTGTTGCTGTCTATAAAAAGAGGAGGCGAGCGAGAGCTCTGGTTTTTAAGCTTTTCTTCATCTTAGAGACACCTGGGAAGCTTAGGCCGCTGCAGGTGTCCGAGTTCACTGCAGACCAGTTGAGGAGCCCCTGGTGCTGGGGCTCATGCTCCCAGGAGACTCTACTGGGCAACGAACATGTAACCCACCAGGCTGGCTGTGATGCCTGTGGCCCTGGGCTCGCTAAACAACCCCCCTGCTCCTCTGCTTCTCACCCCAAGGGACACACAAAACACCAAGACTGCATCTCGCCACGGTGATGCCACATCAGGTGCAGCAGCACTGGCTGGCGATGCACCTTCACATAGAGCCAGTTTTCCTTTTTCTTTTTCTAAAACTTTTTATTATGGAAACTCTAAAAATTCACAAAAGGACTTAGAATAGTATAATAATCCCCCCACATACACATCACTCAGCAACATTACGCGAGTCGTGCTTTATCTGTTCCACCTCCTACAGCCATCTTTTTGGAGTGGAAGGAAGGGGAAGACTGGGGTATTTTAAAGCAAATCCCAAACACTGTATCATTTAACTCATAAACGTGTTAATGTGCATTGTTAATAGGTTGATCTGGGACCTTTTTTTCCCCTTAGCCACAGTGTCATCCATCAGTGGTAATAATGGATGTCATTATCTATCTAACAAAATTGACAGTGGTTCCTTCATATTATCTAATACCCTAGTTATTTAAAAATGCCTTTTTGCACTTAGTTTGAATCTGAATCCAAACCAGGTCTACTTTGTGTTTGGTTGATGTGTCTCTTAAGTCTCTTTTGGTCTATGATTGTTTCCCACCTACTTTGTTCTTTTTGCCATTGATTTATTGGGAGACCTGGTTCAGTTGTCCTTGGATCCTTTATATTTTGTGCTTTCAGAAGCTGGCACTTGGTGAGGGCCTGGTGAGACCAGCTATGCTGGTGACAGTGTCAGTGGTTTACTACTGCTGAGAAGTTCTTGATCAACACATATCAACACCATAAAACTGCATATTGTTGACCCAGACACTTTTGTTCTAGGAATCAATCCTAAAGGAGATAGTCTGTTGTGTAAAAAGGCTTTGTGTACGTGGATGTTAATCTCAGTATTGTCCATAATGGAAAAAAACTAGACACAGTTTAACTAGCCAACAATAGGGGAGTTAACTGAATTAAAGGATGTTCAAATAACGGAACATTATGCAGCTATTAAAATTATACTTATTAGGAGTATTTAATGATGGAGGAAAATACTTACCATATAATGCTAAGTGGAAAAAAAGCTGGTTATGAACTTCAGTATACTGACTGGGCTGACCCTGGAGGAGTCCTAGCCTAGTGGGACCAACACACGCAGAACTGAGCTTCAAGTCAGGTGGTCCTACTGTGGTCTTAACTATTTAAAAATAGACACATGCAAAAACCCTGGAAGGAAATACCTTTCCTAAATGTCGGCAGTTGTGGCCTCAAAGTAGTAGAATTGTGAGGGCTGGTAGGTTCCTAATACATGGTGGTTTTTCCGTCAAGGGGGCTTCTGACTTTTCTAATGAGACGTTTAAAAAAATTGTTTTTTAAATTTTTCTTTTTTGGCCTCTCCATGTTTGCAGGGGGTCTTAGTTCCCCGACCAGGGATTGAACCCGGGCCACGGCAGCGGAAGCACAGAGTCCCAACCACTGTACCGCCAGGGAATTCCCATCCAATGAGATTTTTAAAAAGCTCCAAGAAGAGGGAGAGAGGTGTGGGGAGAAAGGTGAAAGAGAGAGACGAACATGCAGGATTTCATCGTGGCACATAAGTAATGAAGATAGATCACCCTAAGTGCCTGTGTCAGGAATTTGTGATGAATTGAAATGGGTGCCCCAATTCCTGAGCAGACAGTTTAATAATAGGGACAGTCATGGGAGTACCCACTCCGGAATATCTTTTGGATCATTTTGAATCTCAGAGTCACCGAAGGCAGTGGGTGAGAGGGGCATTCATGTCTGGCTCTGCCACACCCCTCTCTCTCTTTATTCACGTATAAAATGGGGATTGTAGAACCTTCTCTCTGGGATGTGGTGAGGATTAAATGAATTAGTACATGGAAAACTTTACCTGACACATAGTACACGCTCAACAAATTAGGTATATAGAACTCCTGCATAAGCCTCCTCTTGAAATAAGCACAGTTTCAGGAGAGAGGAGGGGAGTGGGAAGGGGTGTCCAGGGTTCCACTGACATCTTGTTCTCTTTAGGGTGAAGCTGGGGAGGGGCTTCCTGACCCCCTTGGACCTGCTGGACCCACGGTGAGATTCCCACCCAGGGTTGTCACATGCACAGTGTGCAGGGGATGGGGATGCATAAAACAGCCACAGGCGGATCCTTCCCGTCTGCCCCCAAGTGCCCTCCAGTCAGAGCTCGGTTCTCTTTCCTGTAGCAGGACTCTCTCAGAGAGTCCAGGAGCAGAAACTATTTACATCCCATTTATATCCTGTGCCCTGAAAGACCCCCAGGTCCCTCAAACTAAGCACATCCCAAACTGAACTTGTCACCATGCTCCCAGGCCTGCTCTCCCCCCAGGGTTCCCCTGCTCTGGGAATGGTACCCCATCTTCCTGATCATGAAGAGAGAAGCCAGGAAACATCCTCGAGTGCCCCCCTCAATTCAGTCAGTCCCAAAGCCCCCGAGTCTAGCTGTGCAACACCTCCTCATCCCTTGGATGCTGGCAACAGCCTCCTGTCTCCTCACCTTTATGTCATCACCCCCCTTCTCCCACCTACATGCCCACACTGCCACAACCTGCCAAAACTCAGCTCTAACCCCTAACCCAGCTCTTCCTTATTCGATGATTGAATTAGGCCTTTCCTGGTTCCCATCCTCAGGAACTGGGTAACAGAAAGGTGTTTTGGAAGTTTCCTTTTGTTCTTTGGAGGAATTTGATGGTATTAAACAAGTACATTATGAGTGCCTTCTCAGTGTCAGATCTCATGCTGGACACTGGGCACCCAGAGGAATCTCAGGATTGGGCCGACCCTGGAGGAGTCCTAGCGTAGTGGGACCAACACACACACAACTGAGCTTCAAGTCAGGTGGTCCTACTGCCAAATCCAGACCCCCGCAGTGGCTGGTGGGAACACAGAGTAGGAGAAGTGAATTCTCTCTGAAAATGGGGCTGGGCAGGGCTCCATGGAGGAGGTGACCATAGAACTGGGCCTTGAAGGATGAGTAGGGATTTGAAAGGCAGCAGAAGAGGCTGTGAAAGA